GGTGCTCAAAACCGGAGCGCTTGACAATGAACGCCAGATGCATGGACATTTGCCCAGGTCATTAATCAGATGAGGGCAATGCTTCCTGTCCTTTGGCCGTTCAACCAGGACTTTTCATCCGTAGTTCCACATGTGGGGCGTTTTTATTGGTTCCCATGAGCCTGTTGCCTAGCTGGTTATGTGGTGGTCAACGTGATCCACTGGTTTATGACGTAACCAAACGGCGCAGGCTATTTCATTTGTTGATCAGCAGGCATCTCTTTGCGAGTTGACCAGGCAAATCTTGCTGGTCAACATGAGGTGAACGGTCAACTCGACAAGGGATGGGCAAAGCCTGAGGTCCTCAGATAGTTGATGGTGTTGAACTCCCATAGATTGTCTCTCTGCTGAAGAACACGATTTTGGTATGATCCGATGGCTCTCCTAACTCATACATCTAAGCCATCCTCAACTAGAACCCTGCTTTGGGTGATAACACAAACGAAGAAATATTTGTGATTCTCTACATCATCTGGCTGCATTTCTAATAGTATTCGCAATATGGCATTAGAGACCCCTCTCCATGAGAACAAGAAAAAGGGAGCCCCTTCAAGGAAGGCATTCCGGCAAATGAGGGAACGACGAAGGGAAGGCATCATTAAAAAGGCCTATGAGTATAGCAAGTTATGCGAAGCGGATGTTTGTCTAGGCATCCGATTGAGGGGTTCTGGTCAGGTGTACACCTTTTTAGCTGATCCGAGTGGGTTTTGGTCCTCCTTTGAGTCACAATTGGTAGGATTCATTTCCAGTGGGCGGTGCAAGACACTAATCCCCTACAGGAAAAGTACTATCCTACGCCCATTCGGAAAACAACCGAGGACATTCTACGATCGCGTAATACCCAGCAAGGCCGCCAAGAGTCGGAGACATCTGAAGGCAACATCGAATCTACATAGACTATGTATATGATTCAGAGGGATGAAACATGGCCCGAGCCTAATAATAAGATAAAATCCAATAACTATCCACACGGGTTGGAACGGTGATTGAATGGCTGAATGTCTGAATTCATATGGACCCTCTTTTGCTACTCCCATGTGGAGAAAGGAGTAGTATATGTCCAATTATTGTTGAAAGGTGGAGGAGGTTATGATTGGCTGGAAGTGGCCTCTGAAATCTGAAACCTTCGGGACTCTCATGCGGCCAATCAACTCGATGGATTGGGATAAATGCTCTTAACATCACAAATTGTATACCAAGACTTCTATCCACCTTGAAGTAAATGGCAGCTCATAGAGGCCTGCAGAAGCGGAGTTACCGAGTATAGGCCTGTTGCTCCCGAGAACTAACGCCATGGTTCCAGGGGCGGGGCCCTAGTGTTTCCTCGAATAACCATTGTGTTCCTAGGATCGAGGATATCACTCTTGAGAATGGTCTGATAGATCCCAAGAGTCCCAATGTTCATAAGCTAATCACTTCCAGGAACCCACCCTATATTCAGCATATATACAAACGGGGAAAGCTCTCCTGGAGTGATATCCCGCGGAGTACTAACACTTAATTCTACAACTCGCACATAATACTGACAGGGGTATTCCTCTATCCTTATCAAGTAAGCTGGTAGAATGTAGCATGGCCCCCTCTCCCAATCTCTCCTCTCTGTTCCCAAATGAGGTGTCAAAGTGCATCGAGTCTGAACTTCCCCTCCCCCACCCCCACATCATGACGCCTTTTGTCCTTTCGAAAAGTTGGTCCAATGCCATCCATAAATGGTTGGATTTTGCGGTTTCTATGCTATTTTTACTAGCGGTGATAATTCTAAACGTGTACGGATGGGCCGTCAATGAGCTCAATAGTATGCCAATAGAAATCTGAGCTAATCTCCTAGCTAACCTTCGCCGTGCTCTCAGAAACTGCATGTCGTAAAAGAAAATAAGTTCCAGGGAACCGTGCATAGGTTCCTAGGAACGACGATGGCACTTCTAGGAACACCGCCGCTCCGACGACTGCCCCCGCCGTTCCTGCAATACGCTGTAGAAAAAGGATGGAGACGAATGGCGTCCTGGATTGTAGATCATCCTTTATCCGGGTCGGAGCTGCTTGGCCCGCTCGTTCGAGTCATCATCTTCGGCCGTCACGGAAGAACATAGCAGTGTTGGATAAACTCTCCAAAAGTGGTTGGCCGTGGGCAATCAGAGTGGTTAGTAAGCACTCCGATTGGCGCCACTGCCTATTTATACTCGCCGCCTGGACACATTCATTGCTTCCCAGGTGAGTGCTGGCGGTATAATGGACGGACGAACCCAGACACACAGGCCCTGTCTACGGAAATCCTACTGTACATCTAATCTTAGCAAGTCTTGATTCCTGGAGAAATTAAGGCTTTCTCGCTGGGTCTCGTCGCAGGAAAAGAGATCATGTGTGACCTGTGTAAGTCAATCCACTGTCAGGGCTTAGGCCAAGACGATCCCAGGGTTTAGGAAGGCTTGAGAAGTCAACCTTCCGTAACAGGGGAAAGATGACCTGCAGCCTTCAGAAAAGAGCCGGGTGTGAGGGAGGGAAGGCCTTTGTCTAATCATTATCACCCCTCGGAAGCGGACCCACCGGTCAGGAATGGTTTATTCTCCAATAGTATTTATTTCCTTGCCGCCGACCTGTGGCTTTCACCAAGTGTGTCCAATCTCTGAAGACAACTCCTTCGTAACAAAAATAGTGTTAGGGGGCCAAGTTGGAGATTATTGTCCCACCAACGGGATGACTCGTAATTCCGTGTTAACAGCGAACAGGAATAATTTTAACACTGCGATAAAATTATCACTGGGAAAAGTTAACCCGTAGTTAAGATTACTGATGTGATAATAATAACGCCTTTTAAAATTATTCCTAGGTTAAGATTATGAATACGATAAAATTGGGGTCCTTTAATATGACGCATCTGCAAAATTTACCGGTAGACCAAAATTAACTCGCCCCCAACTTTGGAGAAGTTCTGGATCCGTTTCTTGGTAGGTTGTTTCGGACCCTCAGGAAATGCTGCAGATGTTTTACAGGAGCTTAAGGTGTCTCTTAAAAGTGTGAAACCGGAAAGCTATGTGTGCATCCATTTCAAGGAGCCTTTGAGTGGGAAAGAGGTAGTGTTTAATCCACATTAAATACATACATTGAAGGGAATCTTGCTGTACGAGTTTCTCTGCTTGTACAGTTGATATCGAGCACTTCTTTTAATTCAATGAGGGCCTTCAACA